CACATCCTTCGAGGATCCTTTTAAACTTTTAAGCATAAGTTAGAAGACAAATACCTTAAGCAAACATGAATAAAATTTACTCAGTACGAATAAATACACTGGAATATTTAAGTCATATAACAACAAAACAATAATCCACTACTAAGTCAAAGTAGATATCAGACAACAGTACAAACATCAGGTACATCACAATCGCTAAAAAAGACAAACAAATACAGACAACAAGAACTAGAAAACCTACTTAACATCTACTATCTCATCATCTACATCAAGATCAAGGACCTTCCGCAGATCACTCTCTACCTCATCACTATCACAGCCTGAAGGAAAGTAATCTGAAGCCTGGCTAGGGGTCACCTCTTCGGCTGAAACTCCGGTCTTTCGCTGCATCAGACGAACCCCCTTAAAGAAGCCTCTAATAAATTCATCTTCAGTACACTGCTGCTCCAAACCCTTCACTTCTATGTCATAGATGTGATCTCGGGCCTCCTCAACGTGATCCTGAACGATAGTCTTGAAAGCTATGGACTTCTTAAAGTCTTCAATAACTCTTGAAGGTTCTAGGCTAGACAAGACAGCCTCCTTCTCAGCTATAATGGCCTGGGACTTCTTATCCTTCGTCTCCAGCGACGCAATCTTCTCCTCTGAAACTTTCTGCTCCCTCAAAAGTCTGGTGATCGTCGCGTGAGCCTCCTCAAGATCTATCTGGTGCCGATCTGCCTGCTGATTCCGGAGAGTTACAGAGCGCATTGAGTTAGCCAGCTCAGTCCTGCACTCGCTCAACTCATCTTCAAGCATCTTCACCTCCTTAACCTTCTGATCATATTTTCGTTTGAACTCTCCCTGGAGGTACTTGATCTTAACAAACTCAGTGTTCCAGTCATTAACTGCGATCACAGCACGTGACAGCTGAAAATAGAAAGAAAAGTTCATTAGAAGTCACCTCAGAAGCAAATGAAATAAAAATATTAGGAGATGCTACTCACCAAATTACTGGTCTTGTTATGTCCGAGGCATTGATGATTCATGACATCATCAGGGATATGCAGCTTGGCTGGGGAAGAGTCAGGTAAGGTCTTGTCAGTGTTCGTTTCTTCCAACCTCTTCTTCTTCGAAACCTGGGGGTCTTCGCCTCTTGCCGGTCGTTTGGGAGC